ACTTGGTTTGTTTGGTGCAGCAGGCCACCGGCGCCGAGGGCTCCGAGAGCTTCTCGGAGCTGCTGCAGCGGCTCCGGGACCTTGGAACAGGCGGCGGCGCGGCCAGCCGAGGCGCGAGGGACCCCCGCCCCCGCCCTCCCTCCCCGATTTTGGGGGTGGCTTCGAAGGAAAGCCGAAAGAAAGGCAAGAGCCTGAGTCTGCCTCAAAATGGTTGGCTTAGCTTATCCTTTACCTGGGATTTGTGAGGGGGGCAGCCTATGCCCAAGTGGCAGACTTACGCACGGTGATATCAGTGATATCTTCAAACCGATGGCCGAGCCATGGCCCGGGTCAGGCCACGAAGTCGTGGCAATGGCGCCTGCGTCTTTGAGCTGCTCCTTCACGCCGGAGCCGAAGCTGGCCACGCCCGCCCGCGACAGCCCAAAGCCCACGGCTTCTCGGCGTTGCCTGGGGCGGTCTGGCGGTTTGTTAGAGACCCACAGAAAGCGTTTACCACACCAACGCTTCGAAGCGGAACACAAATGGAAGGGTCTCTTGGAGAAGCAATCGATGAGGAGAAAACTAGCCATGCCAATTTGCCAAGCATATAAGTTGTGCACTCTATGTTTGTGAAGTGTTGTTGTGTTGTTGATGTGGTTGCCTTGTTGTTGTGCAATACCTAAAGGTGAAGGGCCCGCGGTGCCTCCAAAGAGACAGATAGGGGGGCGGTGTTTTATCTCCCAGATGAAGGCATGAGCTCCTGCGTGACCAGCACGGGAATCGCCGTCAAGCATTGTCTTGACCGGAAGACTTTGGTGAGAAGGGGTCTGCCTTGATTCCCCAATCTAAGCCGGGTGCCAAGGCGTTATTCTTGGAAGACAAGGAGAATCATTCGGCCAACAAGCGCGATGGGTTGCATGCCGAAGCAAGGAAGCTTGGACTGCATCTTAATTACCGAATTGAGAAGCTGCAACGTGGCAAACGGGCGCAGAGGTTGCTGTACCTGGTCTCACCTGACAAGGGGCAATATCAAGGTCCCTTTTACAAAGTGAACCCATCACATCACAGAACCGATTTTGAATCTTCCATTGAACGCGTGTGTTTTGAGGGAGGTTAATGTGCGCGCCTTCCGACCTCGTGACCTCGTTTCAGGAAAGCCGTGAAACAGATCAACCACGCCGTGAGCAGCGTGCGGTCCTTGTACGGACAGCCGGTGCGTGACGCCTCATCCTTCCTTCAGGCGGGCAGTGGGCTTTAGAGCTGTATGGAGTCCTTCGTGAGTGCGTGGGTGGGTGCGTGAGAGCATGGGTGTGTGTGTGTGTGCGTGTGTTTGTGCTGTTTGCTCTTACGTACTGTTTTTGAATCAAAGGAACCGGGCTAGGCGGGAAGTTACAGCTTGCGTTGCGCGAGGCAGCAAGGTTGCGTTGATGCTTGCGCATTTTGCCCTTGAGGTAGTGTCATCTCAAGTGCGCTGGACCCTGCGGTAAGCATGCGTCCATGTGAAGAGCTGGTGAAAAGGCCAGCTTCAAACTTTTCCTTTTCGGCGGGATAAGAGGAGCCGCCCTGTCCATCGGATTTCCGCAGGTCCTTCAGCGCAAGGGGTCCTTGGACCGGCCAGGGGCTCGGGATCGCCAGTGGCCAGCTCTGGAATCTGCCCGTTTGTTGCGACCTTTCCTGGTCCTTTTGCTTCTTGTTGCAGCTGTTTGTTTTGGCGGGGCTTAGGAAGGTCATCACCCAGGGCCTGAAGCGTTTGGATGTGGTCCTTTCGCAGAGCCAGCTGGACTCTTTGGTGGATGCTCTCGAGGATGGGGGATCAACATCGGCTGTGTATATATATATATATGTGTTGACTAAGGGGGTGCTGTGTCTTTTCGGGTGCTTAATGAAGTCAGTTGTTTTATTCCGTCAGTTTGTCTTGAGTTGCTCTGTTCAAATTATAGGGAGCCCTGCGGGTAAAACAAGCTCATTCACAATGAAGGTTCCTGTAACAGGGGATTCCCTTGTTTTCAGCCGGCAAGCTATGGCAATGTGCAGACTCGCTGCGTGATAGCATAGCTTCGAGTGGACGGGAAGGTTGCTTGTTTCATCCACGCCTCGGTTTGGCGAATGTGGTTCGTTCTCAAGTTGAAAGTGTCATGAGCAGAATGGCCGAGGCTTAGCATGTTGGCTGGCGTGGAACCTATGGCGATGTTCCCCATGAGGTAGGCGGTGCACTCCCATCAACTGTTGGCCATCAACGCGGGGATCATTGTTGGTTCAAATGGGAGTTGAAGGGAGGCAACTGACCAAGACGAGTGAGACGACATATTCAACGGCAGGACCACAGACAATAGATGTACTGGGCGTTGGTGTGATGCGACATGATCCAGGCGTGCATTGTGTCTACCATACTTACTTTCACTACCACCCCTGATTTTGCTGGAACACTCGGATTTAGACTATGCCTATGCTCATTAATTATTGGCCATTGTCACACTAGGCTCCGGTCATGCCAAACTCATGCGCACACACACACACACACGCACACACGCACAAGCTTTCAACATTACACAGACACCAGTTCTCCACGCTAGGTTGTGCAAAGTACTCAGCACTGTGTATGTGTCTTCAAGTCCAAAGCAGTAGTGTCACGATTCACACCGTTGTTGAGTCGCCTATGTGGTCGCATACATGCTCCATATGTCATTGTTTGCGAGGCTACAGTGGTTTTCCCAGTCATTAAGTTTCAGGGTGGGGAGAAAGCGAGTCTGACAGGTAGCACGTCCAGGAGTCAACAAAAGGGAACATCAAACAACAGAAGCGCGCCACGAAACCCTGAACACACGGAGTAAACAGGGGAACCACGTGGTAGGAATGCAAAAGTAGGATCAAAAGTACTAAACATGCAGGACAGGACACACGTAAGGAGTAGACGCAGGAAACATGATACCGTGAAATCCTCTAAAATGCACGGCGCTAAAAGGATGACACTTCAGAATGGTAAATGTGAGAACTCATCAAGGCTATTTGTTTGTCACCCCGAAGTTTATCCAATTCATATGTACCCTAAACTCAAAGCATATGATTTTACATCCTTCATTCTTATTAGTATCCGAACATCCCCAATCAAACTGCAAGTGGCCTAGTTGCTGGGCCTTTGTGTTCCTTTCAAATGTGCTTTAAAGCAATGCTCGCTAGACATTTGCCATGCAGCCTCCATTGCGTTGTCTTGTTTTGGGTTTGCCCCATTGTAGTTGGGTCGCTTTTTAACTTGTGCCGTACCAGGACGGCATTCCACCAGAGCTGCAGATCTAAAGATGTGCCCGTGCTGCGATAGGTTCCTTGGCAGAAGTCAGAGGAGAGTTTCAGCATGAATCGGCGCAGGAATGACATTTCCCTGTGCTTGACTGCTGTCAAATTGCAGGTGTTTGAAGTGTCTTTGCGTTCATCGGGTTGTTTGCAACCGGATACGCATGTCGATTTGGTGTTGGAGATCTTGATGTTCCGGAGGAAGAATTTGACGTTTGGAGCCTGCGGGATGTGCAGGTTTGCAGGACGTTTCAAGCAGCCGAACAGACCCAGCTCAAGTCAAAAGATGAGCCAGTGATCGCCTGTGCTTGATATCTGTTTGAGTTGTGGGACGGGCTTGATTTTGCTGGGCGCATCCTTTTGTTTGATTTCGTGCATGGTCAAAGTCAACAGCTGGATTTGAACCCGCATCAGGGTGTCACTGAGAACACGAAGGTCATGGAAGTCTGATGCGTTTGATATGTTGGCCTTTCAAAGAGTTGCCAACTCGGGAAACCCTGCAGCTTTGAACACGTGTTATTGATTTGCGCCATAAATCCAACGGGAGGGGGGTGAATGAACATTGTCCTGGGCAGGCGGTTTGACTCTCTAGGGGGACAAGGCTGTCGTGGGTGTGTTGGCTTGCTTGTTTGGTTGGTTGGCAGCATTTGTTTGTTGATGAAATACTTTGTTTGTTTCTGATTTTTTTATTTAGTTAAGTTGTCTCTTTATTTATGTGTGTTGTTTATGTATTCCTTGCTGTCTTTCTGTCTTTATTTCTGTCTTTACATGTCATTATGTGGCAAATGTCAGTCTTTACATGTCATTCTGCGGTTGGTTCTTTCTGAATGTTCTTCATGTTGGTCTCGATTGGTTATTATTAATATATATATATATATACATAGTGTCAATTTACTTGCTTCTTTCTTTCGTTCATTCTTTCGTGTTTATCTATTTGTTTTTATTGCTTACTTGTGTTTATGTCTTTGTTTCTGTCTTTATTTATTGTTTTGTATTTGTTTGTATATGTCCTCTTCCAGGCTCGCTTGTGGGCCATGCTCAGGTGCAAATAGAGCGTCCTATTTCTGCGCGATCACTTTCTGACCCTTTTTGGCAAAGCAAGCCCTCATGCTCTTGCGACAAGAATCCAAAAGGCTTGGGGTTGAAGCTGAATGCTTTGTATGCAGTTTATGGAGCCAGCTTCTTGACCATTTCTTGGTTGTCGTGTGCGGAGGGCCTTGCCAAACTGGAAGATTGATTTTGTAAGATATGGCTGTCGCAATGTCGCACGTTCAGTGCACCAGATTGGCCCTGTAGCTTTCAACTTCGCCAAATTCACTCGAACGGGGTGGCTAATTCATGCAAGTTCGCTGCATCCACGCCACGGACGCGGAGGAAAAGGTGCACGGACCCCAAGGCCCCGAGGCAAAGATTTCAGATGCCTCCAGTCATTGCGTTTGCCGATGCCGGAATCAACTTTAGCCCATCGATTTGTCTTTGGGCTTCTAGAACTCACGCAGCGCGTGCTGCACAGATCAGCTGCCAAAGGACGGATCTTGCCAAAGTAGGCATTTGGGTTGTTGCTGCGGTGCTTCCAAAACATAGGTTGACCGAAAGAACCATTTGGAGGGTCTCAGCTATCAGCAAGTCACGTAGAAAGTGGAAATCAAAGCCAGTTCTGTCATTCGCCACTTAGTAGACAATGTGCTGGCTTCCTCGCAATTGACAGGGATGTTTAGAGCTGGGATTGCCAGGCGAAAGATGAGGAGCACCAGCAGAATGTTCAGGAGAGCAGATTCAGCCAATACGAGGGCAAGCATACTTTGAATGGGGCGGGGTCGGTTACTCAAAGCTGAAACAACAATAGGTCAGGATCACAGGATAAGGCAGTATAGCCCCTTCCATTGGGTTGGACTTCTAGCCATCCTCTTGCAAGAGAGGCTTCTTGTCGCGTGTGGTCAATCTACGTGTACGCAAGTTGGTAGCACTGGCCAAAGCAAATGGGCATCAACAGGCTTGACGTGGGGGCGGTACTACAACAGTAATACATGACAAGAGGTCATTTTTACCAAGTTTCACCATTCCTTCCCATGTTGGAGGCAGCATCAGAAAGCCGAAGTACTGTTGACCCCTGGCCCTCTCGCAGCTGAATGCTGACATCGTATGGGACTCATTTGGTTTACAAGCACTTGGTGTGGACAGCCATCCTGGATCAATCATGGTCTTGGCACCAAGGCTTGCCTTCAACAAGTGTGAAGCGCAAGTGTATGAGTGCAACCTTTGGACTATGTGAACCTTTGGAAATAAAGCCACAATGGGTGTTGACATGCTTGGGTACTTTCCTGAGAATCGAGACAGGTGTGTTGGTTTTCCACTGATACTGAAGTTGGGAAGGTCATGAAAAAGAAACGAGTTTGATCAAGGGCGTACAAATGCTTGTTTCCGCAATAGATGCCCTCAAGCTTCTGAGGGCATGTTTGACAGCTGTTTTCCTTCTGACCTTGTGTTTCTTCAAGTCTACCTCGTTTGCACTGTCTGTGATGTTATCGGCTTCAACGGCTCAGACAGTGCCAATCAGAACATGTCCTGACTTCACTCACCTGGCCCCTCGCATAGGCTGATCAAGTGCTCAATTCCCAGTTCGGCGGTTCCCTTATCCCCGAAACCAACCCCAATTCGCGTCAATCTGCCAGATTTTCGCTCCGGGCTAAGGATTTTTTGGGGGGAACGCGATGGCTGCGCCAGGAATTGCAGCGACGGCATGAGGCAGATCTTCAAAGATCCCTGGAGGCTGTGGTGTGCGACTGCCAGGCTCCTCGGACCCCCCAAGATGTTAACGTTGCTTTTTTTAGTGGTTTCTGCGAACCAAAGCTATTGTTCATTTGGGACACCAGGAAATTCAGAATTGTCAATGTTTGCATCCAGTTACTTGCAATGTTTGGGGTGCCGACCGCGCAACTGTCAAGTTTAGATAGATCCAGATGCAATCCCAGGAGCCGAATCAATGCCCATGATATTATATTTTTCCCGAATAGCGCAAGACCTATGTGAACAATAAGATGGAGTTGCCCCAACATGAGTCCCCCTACGGTTCAGATTTGTTGGTTTCAAAATGGTTGCCGTTAGAACACAGGCTTTCCGCTTTGTAGACAAACTGGTGAAGAAACCAAATTTGGCTGCCGGATTTCTTGGTCACCTTACTTTGGGCGCCTTGGGACACCTCATGCCAGCAACACCCAGCCGCTTGGAAAATGCACCGGCCTTAATTGTTATGGTCCATGGTTGTACAAATTTGATGCTAGTTCCCTTTGCTGTTTTGTTATGCTTCTGTTTTGCGGCTGCTGCCACAGCTGCCACAGCTGCCACTTGGGGCTTGAATGGGTCACATGTGCTACTTGGTGGTAGCCCACGCATTTGAACAGGCATGACAAATACTCCGATTAAGTTGCTTCGTGTGAGGAGCATCGTGTCGGATGAAGTCACCGCACCAATTGGTGCATGTGTTAAGCCGCATGTGTGCCATGGGCAATAAACCCTTTGCTTGGAGTTGGTAGAGATGGTCATCAGCAACTCTTGGCGAAGCACCTTGAGCCGCATTGTTCGTTGTCCCCAATAGCGATGCTTGGAATTGGAACGGAATAACACCGCATCCCCAGCCTGCCAAATAGTGCACTTCAGGTTGACAGCTGCGCTGGCAACTTTCTCTTAAGCTGGAAAGCCCCTGAAGCCATGCCTGGCCTTGAGCTGTACAATCCCTCGCGCTTGGCCACCGGGGGTGGACACATGGGACACATGTGCAGAGTTCCGCAGATAAGAAGCAGCGTGGACGAGAGTTTTCTTGGCGGATTCCTTGGGCTCAACTCCAGCTTGGCCCCAGGAAGTTGGATGCCATGGGGGTAGGGTTGGCCTCAGGGAAGCTCCGCGACAATCCGCGACATGTTTGCCTCACTTTCCACGGCCACAAAGCCGAGTATTTGAGCTGAAGGTGGGACTAGTCACTGTGTTGCGGTTGTTTGTGGCGAGTTCCCCCCGAGGCCGATGTAATCATGTAAATTGGAAGGTGGGGGGCGCAAAGCAGCAAAAACCATTGGTTTCTGACACTTAACAAAGCCACCCGCAACAAGCAACTTGTTTGTGGTAATCAAGCAACAACTCCGCTCCAGTCTTGTTCCATGATCTTGGGGAAAGCGCGTGCCGTGGAGCCAGGAGAAGGAGCTGCAGCAGAGGGAGCATCAGAAGGCCGTGGAGGTGCCAAGAAGTTGCGCACGCGGCAAGCGGAGCGCTGGCGCTAGCTGTGTGGTGTCTCAACCTGGGGGAGACATGTTTGTGCGTGAAGAATGAAACGAGATTCCAATATATAAAATACTCATACTTTGTCGGAGCATCGGACGTGTCCTACAGCTTGGCCACCCATTGGCCTTTGCCAAAAAGCGCGCATTATGTAAAACGGCGCTCTATGTACTTGGGAGAACGTTGCCTTCACAGCCAAATACGAGTTTGTCCACCCTTTAAAGAGGGGAACGTGATAGTCGATCTATTGCTAGTCGGAGCAACAAAAGTGAACGTTTGATGACGGACTTCCGTGTCGAACGATTCCCTTTGGTTGGTTTGCTAGGCTTCCTTTGCGTGGGGTACGGGTCGCCTAGCATGGCTCTTGCTCCGCGTTGGTAGTTTGATATATGTGTATATGTATCTTGATCCAGTCAAGAGCGCTTGTAAGGAAGTTCCGTTGAACGAGGCTACCTTTGTATGCGCTTGTGGCCTCGCATTGGTGTAATTTCGAAACGCACATGCCGTGGCCGTGAAGAGTCATTGTCGTGCTCTGGGCCAGAACTATGTGGCCCTTTTGGGAAGAAATGCTTTGAAAGAACCCATGTCTGTATTTACATGTGTATACCTGGAGCCCAAATGTCCTTCGTTTTTGTAGGCCTTTCAACAAAGCCTGGTTTTGATTCCAAAAACCTGGTTTTTGAGAAGAAGGCTGATTTTTGGGGAAAGGTTGTATTTTGCTAGAAAGCCCGGTTCAGCTCCAGCATTTGCTCTGATGTGGCATGAGTTTTGCACAAACCATAGTGAACCTGTACACCACATGATGAGATTTGACCAAGCAACTTCACTGTTCGAGTTGTTGAAATGACGCGCAAGAGACAAAGCGCATGAGCTCCTACCATCATATTCGAAACAGGCTCTTTCATTCAACCCAAGTGGAACCAGACTACAACTCTAGGATGCTGGCACATGACCACGTCAATCAAGCATGCCACGTCTACTCCTGCTGGAGACATGCCATGTGCCAGACTATCCCTAGCTAAATAGTTGTTTCTTTTCATCACCTGAAAGCGCTGATGCGCACATGCACAGCACCGACATGTAATTCAACAACCAACCAAAACGTTTCATAGACAGCCTTGATCTGCTTCGTTCCTGCCTTGGACAGCCCAGCTTTACCCGCTGACATTGAACACGTGCAGGTATGTATGGTAGCTGCACCTGGAGCACGCTAAAACTCAAACCTTGCATCCTCCAATGCGGGAGCCCCTACCAACTCGCATTTTGCTGCACTGATGCAAGGAACAAGCTTCCACTAAAGCAGCCCACTCACTCAAAGATATGTTTTCATTATAGTGAGATACTTGCTTGCAGGCCTTGACAGAATGTGCTAGCACGTGCTAGCACATCTTGGATTGCCCAAAGTACATATTTGAAGAGTCCCAGGAAAAGTTGTCAAAGAACCTTCAACCCTCAATCGTCAATGCAGGATGTGAAAGCAGATCCTGGATTGCCCACGTACATATGGAATCTGAAAAGGCGGACAAGCAGAGCACGTTCCAAGAGTCAAATTGTGGATGTGGACCGCGTGCATTTTGCCAATAAGGGAAACATGTGTTTTGAAAGTTTACAGCTTTTCGTGGGTGAGGGCTGGCCAGGATGGTCAATGCAGGGGGGAAAACCTTGAAGAGTCTAGAAAAGCTGTCAAGTTTGTTTGGGGCCAGGATTGAGGATGTTCTAAAGAAATGTCTGTGGCATCTTGAATAGTTGGCCTTCGGTCCAGGGCAACATGATCTGAGCGAATGCTGAAAAATCACGGTTTACAGCATTTTTATGCCAATAATAAGATCTATGTTTGAACACACTTTTATGTTTTTGGTTTGGCTCAGTTCTTGCTTGGTTAAAACAACATGGAGTTAGATACGGACAATATCCCTGATGAAATTTCTCTTGATTCCAGTTTTAATTGGCCACGACAATAGCTGCGTTCTCCAATTTACTTTTGAACCACACAATAAACTGAAACCGGTTAAAGTTGAATTTGGCTTGAACTCTAAAACATTTAACATTAGTATTATTCCTATACCTGAACTTCAATAGTTGTTCTTGACAGTGGTTGAATCGTATAGGGGAGGTAGCATACGAAAAACGCGCGCACATACGCAATGGAAGCAATCCAAAACGCGGGGCTTCACAGGCCATTTTGACAATGAACATGGTTCTATGTGGTTGGCTTGCGATCGCACACAGCATGTCTGACAGTACGTGAGCTATTTGGACAGCAGCTTGGGCAAAGGGACTACGAGCTTCAGTATGGGACATCTATCGTAAACTCCATAGACACGCAATCGGTAGCCCTTACAAGCCCCGTCAACCTGAGGGGCGCATGATAGAAGTCTGTATCCCAACCCAAAACAGACCATGTCAGACGGCTGAGAGGCGCTGAAAGCTGAGCAGAGTGCTATGGAGGACTCATGTGATCCCTGTCTACTTGTGGTTGCGCCTGACAAAGCCAGGGCAAGGCAACCCTGATCGCGCACAAATGGAATGCTCTTTTTTTGGCCAGAGAAGGTCCCCTTTTTGGGCCCCCTGGTTTGGGCAGCCAGGCCCTCCCAACACTGCGACTTCCCTTGGCCGCGGGAAACTTTCCCTGGAATTGCACATTGTTCTCGCTGGGTCGTGTGTCTTATCATTCCTCTTGTATCTCCGCATCAATGGTGCTCCTGGTTTTCCGACTTCACGTCGCGTTTTCGGCGTGCTTTGGTGTTCTGAACCGCAAATCATGCGACATGTTACAATATTAAATTGTCAGGGCAGGGGGACTGGCGGCAGATGACCTTTCTTATTTGATTCAATTGTCAATGCCAGAAACGTTGTTACATTAAAAGACAGGCAAGTCATCACAACCCACATGCTTGCACTGTAGTATCCTTTCACTTGCTCGACTGAAGTGGCCCCCTCAAGTGAGACCATGTATAGCATTGAGAAAGTGGCAACAGCCTGTACTGGAAGCAAGGGTATGAAGGCTATGTTGAAATGTGCAGCCCCAAGCAATTTGGAGTATGTGCCAGTTTTAAGACCCTAAGGTGTAGAACAAAGTGACGGCCGCTTGCCTTTGTGTCGAAAGAAATATGTCCCATCAGCACCTGCTCCCAAGTGCCAGTCTGTTCGTGGACGTGTGAACCACATGGAGCAAATGGAGGCCGCACTTATCACATTGTCCCACCGAGCCAAAACCCATCATGCCTCTCAAGAGTCTAACCTGCAGGCAACCACCTGCACCGCGAAGGGAACGCGAATTGCTTGCAAACGCAAGGCATGATCAACACATGGTCATGTTGACCAGGGTATGTCTGACTTGTCTCTCCTGGGAGCTTGTTGTGTTTGTTTGTTCTGGTGTTGTCCGTTCTAGGGGCCACGGGCAAATGCCGTAGGGCTTGCGATGACTGACCAGGAGAAGCAGACGGGCTTTCAGCAAGACTTTGACAACAAGTACAAGGCCGCAGGATTGTTTTCTTGCTTGGCTGCTTTTGGAGTTAGAGTAGAGAGAGTCGTGGGGAATGATGGTCTTGTGTTTGTATGTGCCTTCTTCAAGAGCATCACGGCGTCATCCCTAGGCTGGCTTTGTTTTTTGTTTGTGCACTGCCATGTCTCGCACTAAGTCACTAAGTTCAATCCGTGGCCTGTCTTTGCCTGCTTCATATATACACCCGATGTATGTGTGCATTCCAAGATCAACCTAGCAATCCTTCTTTCGGTCGACATGGCGATCTGCCTTCAGACCTGATGCATTCCCGTCATTGAGTTGATGTCCGAGGCTCAACCTCGCAGTGACGAATCGGATGTCACACTTCACCCCCCAGCGTTCAATCGCTGCCAGACCTTGCTGGGCTCCATGAAGGAAGCTGCTCAGGCTGGTAAATGCAGATTTAGTCTCCAATGGTCGAGAGATTGGCGTGTTCTTTGAATGGGGCCACGGCTCTCCAGTTTTGTCGGGGCAGGGGCGTTTCATGTGCACCATAGGCATCGGTTTGTTGCCTCTTGAGCTAGGGTCAGAGGTTGGGTTGCAGCGTGACACGTGCTTGCATGAGGCCGACCGGGCGAGTTTAGGTCATAAAGCGCAAGAGACCAATGTTGGCGAAGATGGACATCCAGTGTTTCGGCGCAGGTCAAGCAGGAGCTGAAGTTGGACGGTGACTTTGACGTCATCGCTTCTTTGCAGCAGTGAGTTTTGTCGTTGCTGTTTCATTTGCAGTCTTTGCCGGCATCAGCAGAGCTCCCGCAAAGGGCCGAACATGCCGAACACTTCATTTTTTGAGCGGCCAGATTTGTTGTTTTGATTTGTGCGGTGCACGTGCTTGAATGCAGAAGTAGCTGAGCATATTGGATCTGATTTGACCACGGTCGGGGAAAGATGTAACAGCTGTCAAGTTTCTTAAGTGTGCAAACACCTTTGCAAAATAGTGCGACAGGTTTCCGCGTTTCCAGCAACACACTACACTTGTGTTTCTGCAAGACAGCGCATTCTGCAAGACAGCACTATGACGCAGTATACCAAGCCTACGAAGGTATTTATGAGCAACTTCCATTCAGCATCAGACTGCCGCGCATCATTGACATGTCCTTTAGGGTCCTTTCCAAATTGTCTGCTTAAAGCAGTTGTCAGCTCTTCGCTTGTCTTCGCTTGGCGAGAAACATGTCAATGGGTCTTCAAATTTTATAAACACTTCTGGCTTCAAAGGTGAACAGGAGCGAACCGCCCATTTGTCACAGTCCTCCATTTCAAGCCCGATGCGACAGGAAGGCACATCGTATGGACTCATCGAGCTGCAGCTCTTCGGGCATGTTCCTCTCGTTTTGTTTGTCGGTCTGCCGGAGTGCCTGTGGCATGCACTGACTAGGTATACTGAAATGCTTTGCTGTCTTGCAGCATTTAGATGTCAGCCGCTGCAGCCTCTTCAACGAGCTTTTTCCTCAACACCCTAGCTCAATTGGATGATTGCGTGGCCTGGCCCGCTGTCCCAACCAAGCAAGACAGAGTACAATAATCAGTTGCTTGCATCCGCTGAGGTGGGTGAGAAGGTGGATGACTTTATCTTTGCCACTTGAACGCATGCTCGATCGGCGCTCGAATTTGTGTGTGTGTGTGTTGGCTGTGTACTGGTACAGTAAGGCTTTCAGAACTAGTGTAAACATGAGCTGGCAGCTACTTAAATTGTGAACTCAGGCAAGGGCCTTGCTTTTGCTTTTTCAGCTGCCGGCAACTGATTAAGATTCGGCGGTCAATGCTTTGCAGGGAACCTGACATGGGTTCCCACTTGTGAAAGTGTTCGGACATGTCGGATTTATGAATCTGTTACTTGAAAGGCACACTTGCCTTTCTATTCCGCTGAGTTACATGTGTGGTGGGGTCGGGAGAGGCGTGGCGTATCTTTAGCCCGTGGAACTCAGCCCGTGCAACTGGGCCCCGGCACGGTGCTAAAGCACATAGCTTGGCGCTTCCACTTTCTCCTGCCATGACCCAGTACAGCGGTACAGCACGCGCTTTCCAGCCAAGAGAGGGTGCGGGATGCTGCTCGACCAGCCATGGAGGAACATGTGACAGGCCTAGCATCCTGAGTTCCCATAGAGGACTTGCTCGAACTCAAGAGGAATGCCATTCTCTCACCTCTGTGTTGTTTGAACTTCTTTTGTGTGTTGTTGAAGGTCTTTCCGCGTGCTCCCGCTACAAAAGTCCAGAGGTTGTCTTGGAATGTTGGGCTGAGCCTTTATTTAGCACAGTTGGGTAAAAATGATGGCAAGATAATGTCAGCCCCGCTCTCTGCAAAGAGACTAAGTCAAGATGTTTGTTGATTTGTTACCCCAAGTGCAGCCGTACCTTATACCCTACATTGGAACTCGTGCTCCTGCTCCCTTCGCTGCCAGCCGCACTTGTAGGGCCCCGCCCAGGAGGGGCACAACACACGCACCGAATCGCGGAATGGCGTCCGGTGCGCCATGTGCGTCCATTTGCTGCCGGGCACCGCTGGTGCTGATGGCTGCAAGCGTTCTGATGAAGCTCGTGGTGCCCTTTGCCGCAGCCACGGCTGGGAACGAGGAGCGGCAAACCAAGAGCTGCGCAGGGCGTTTTTTTTTGGGGGGGTATTGGCTACTAAACACGTACTTTCTCGTACCCTGTCTCCCACTAACATGGCACCTGACAGGGGGAGAGCAATTTCCAGGTACCCTCACGGGTGCCATGTTAGTGGGAGGGTACACGCTGTTGGCCTGATTGAATCAGGATGCATTTCGTTGTTTGTTTTTTGGAGACAAGACTTACTGATTTGGGATGTGTCGTTCTTGCTACCTGTTCGCTGGCATCACTTGTGCAAGCGACGCACGTCTCTGCGGGGAACGTGTTTAGGAACTTGTGACTGGAAAACCCAGAGCAAACAAAGCCTACAGCAGAAGTTTGCTGCTTTTGGCACTCTTGGCGATCAAAGCTGTACATTGTAGCATAGGGAGCAGCTTGAGTGCTGCAAGCCAAAGTGAAGACACATTTTGTCGCCCGCATGCAACTACTGCATGTCATGATGACTTATTCACTTAGGCCATGCTTATGATTCTTCCAGTTCAATCGCGAACAGTTCGCTAGTTTCATCCTTTGATTTCAGGGTTGGTTCCCCATTCTATGTAAGCAGAGTTTGTTTCCAACAGCAGCTCATGTGGTTTTCAAGCAGGATCCCTGGATTCCGCATGGGGAAGCTTCCCTTGTAGGCATCACCGAACCACAACTGTGGTCCAAGCCTTGAGGGGAGGAACTGGCTACAAATGGGTCGCAGCGGTGCACGAGCAGAGCGCAACCGAAGTAAGTCATCTGGAGGACGCCTTTGCAGCTAGTGAAGTTTCGTGGAATCGGCACTGGGCCCCTCAACATCTAAGAACAGCAGAGGGAGACCACTGAGAGATTTCTGGCATTTGATTGAGCCCCACCCCTGCGGAAGCATAGCTTGCGCGTGGAAGGATCCCGAGAAGAACTCGCTGTCCCACGTCTTTGGACAGTCGTCCATTTGCGTGGCCATGGACTTTCCCGGCTGGGCTGAAGCCGGTTTTGTCACGTTTATGTTGTCTGGATTCTTGGACACCTATGTGGTATTTGTGGTCTTTCGGCATGTGAAGACACGTTGGCAGGAAGCAGGTGCCACGAATTGCGCTATGAATGCGCTTGTGGTGCTGGCAGTCTGGCTGAGCCTGTGCTTCAACAGTTTCTTTTGTGTCTTTTTCGCAAACCCAGTGACACATCATCGTGCGGAGATCATTGTGTTGCACACCGTGCCCTACCTGGCCCTGCAAGTGGGCTTCACTTGCTTGATCCTCTTCCAGCTCAAGTTCCTTCGCCCTGATGCAGCAAAATGCCAGAAGATTGCATGGTATGTCTTCGTCGGCCTCTATCTCGTGCAGCAGACTCTAAATTATGCAGTGGTTATTTGGAGCTTGGCGGAGGTGTGGGGACAAACGCTCAGTACCTATCAAGGCCCCAAGGTGCGCTATCAAGTTTTCCGGGTGTTGGAACCCGGAGGGATTTTGTGTTTGATGATTTCCTTCTGTCTGCATTCCTTTCGCCTGGAACCTGACACAAAGGTTGCAGATGTTGACGTCTGACTAAGCCAGCGTCATGCGCACCGCACTTACTGTACCACGAGAAAGAAGTGTTTCGGACTCAATTGCTGGTTGCGCTGAGACATGCTGAGACCCTTTGTCGTAGACTGGGATGACTCAGCTTTGAGATATGTTCCTACATGTGTAGCTTGGAGAAGCTCAATTGGGTTCAAAGGAATTCAGGGAACAGGTCTTACGTCAAGTACTTGTGCTAGGCCGCTTCGCTGTTGCTTGCATCGCACAAATGCACATCCGTGATTCGCACATCATCATAAGCATTCCTACAGAGGGTGGGAAACAACTCACAGCTTGGTTCTCCAAGGTTATGCACAAGCATGGAACTGTAGATGAGCCATCCGGGTGCTAGCTCCTTTGAAAGTTCTCCAAGACTTCGGTGGAATGTGTGGCAGAACAACAGCTGATAGCTGCTGTAAGACCGGTCGGGGACAAACATGGCATGCGATACAGCCTGAGTTGGTGCGGGTAGACTGGATTGGCCATCCTGCCTGCAGCGCGCGTGCAAACTCGGTGCCTAGCGCTACGCACATTTCTCGTGGTGAGGCGTCTCATGACACAAGTTCTAGTTGCGTTCAATTTGGTCCTTTTTACCGTGCGAAGACAGAGTCAAACACCGAGCATTTGATCAAGGGCAAATGGGTTTTGGCAATGCATGCCTCACAAGCTTCAGCAATATGTGATTTGTTTTCCCGCTCAGGTAACAGGGTAGATATTCTAATTTGCATGTCACCCACTGCCGCCCGACACATGCACCAATATGTCACTTCTTGCATTCTGTTGGGCTTCCACCTCATCTTGTGGTTGCTCCTTGTCCGCTCCTATGCTTGAGACAAGTCACCTGCAGCTTAGGAAGTGTCTCAGAACCTTTTCCCCGCGATTTGCTTGGACGTGTCCCCTGGATCGGTGATCATCACAGTGGCAGCGGTGGATGTTGCAGCGCGCGGCCCAACACGGGGCGCCAGCTGGCTGGGGCACTTTGTGTGCGTACCAACACAAAATCTGCACACATGTTTGTTTGCTTTACTTGCTTGTGCGTCTGTGTCTGTGTCTGTGTGTCTTTCTGTGTGTGTGTGTGGGTGCGTGTGTTATACTTTTTTTGCTCCTGAGAACGGATCCATTAGCAACGTCCCGTACTTCTGATCTCCTATGTTCAGGCGGGTGATCAATTGTAGCTGGTGCAGATTGAAGGCAGTTGTTGTTTTGCAGCCAGCTATAGTGCTTGAGTCAGTCACAGGCAGGGAGACTGGAAACACTTGGTCATTATGAGCTCGTTAATTTGGGAAGGAATATGAGTTGAATGATAATGCAATTATCAATCAATACTTGGTTTGTGACAGGCGATGTTTGTCCTTGTTATTTGAAGGGTTCGAGGCCTGATAGGGTTGTGTACACAGCTTAGTGCAATGATATCAACGTCCTTCAGAGAAAATGCCAGAACCCCAAAAGCCAGCATCTCTGAGACCAGATTTCTTTATGGTTCTAGTAAGTCCCAAGGAGCCTGATTCAATAACTCAGCACAAGACCAAAGCTCGCCAGGAACAAGGCTCGCCGAGGGTTCCCGTCAAATACTTGCCTTTTGAGTCCACCGCAAAAAAGTCTCATCCGCGGACTGCACCGTTAAGACTGATTCCCGGAGCCCCTGTTGAGAGGCAATTGAAACTTGGATTGGCCTAGTTCCAACCAGAAATAGGTTCGGATACCTACCCGTTATTTGTTTGTCAGGGTTTTAGAGCATATTGGAGTCAGCTCCCAAAACAGATGGTTTTAGAGGGCTTCCATTGGCCCCAAATCACAAGGGAAGATCAAATATGTAAGCCTCGCAGTTGTCATATAGTGGATGTACTCAGTGTCATATACCAGTTGTCATATAGTGCTCGTCATGTGCCAGTTGTCATAGCCCTGTGGTTTGTCCACTTCCATGCCGCCGAGGCTTTAAACCGTGCCGTCAGCGCCGTGCGCGAAGACGGGCTTCATCTTCCGAGCTTCGGAGATCTTCAGGAGGCAGCTGAACCGACAAAGTCACGAGGAAAGTTTCATTCACTTTCGGATAACTATTTTGTTTGGGTGTCCGGTAGTTCTTGAATAAAATGGCGGAGCCGGGCCCATTGGTTTTTGAGCAAGGTCGAAGACCAGAATTGAGGTGTAGGCTTGTTTCCGGTGCAGCTGAGGGCTGAGAACGGATGTCTGCTAGCAAGAAGAAGAACATGTGAAGCAACGACTCCTTAAAATGAATGCCCTTCACTGATGGCCAGCCGGCTGAAGCCTTTTGCTGCTTGATACAGCAAGGGGGGGGGGAAGCAGTGAATTGCCAGGTGCCTGACATTCCAAGTCCCCGGCGCGGCGAGCTGAGCACGCGCGTGTTCCATGGCTGGGGGTCGGTTTCTGGAGCATCGTTAGAGCCATGGGGTGAGGCGGTGCAGGGTAATCATTCGAAGGTGATGAAGTTCGGCCCAAAGCAATGCACACTGACGCATGAGGCTTGCTAAAATGAAAGGATCTTGATGGAAATAGACAGACAGGTGCCATTTGTCGATTGCACCATGGCAGACTGAATCCCAGTCGTGTTGAGGATCCAAGAAATTGGACTTTTCCGGGGGTCCACAAAAGGGTCCAAAGCTCACATCGCTTGAGCCTAGGTCCTGATGAGTGCGGGTCTCGGATGTTTTTGAGAGAGGTGGGTTCAATCATAGGGTGTTAGTCTCCCTGGAGTACCACCACACGGTGGGCTGCTTCGCTTTGGTTTCCCCGATAGACTCAAAGTCATGTATGGGGAAGTACATCCATGCCAGGATGCCCTGAATTGCCGTCTCCTTTATCGAGTGTTCAAGCGAGTCTGCCCAGACAAGCGATTTCCTTGCGGTTTGTCTACGCGGTTTAAGTCAGGTACAACAAGCAAAAGCACCCCTTTCCCGCAACATGGCACCCGAAAGTACTCTCTCACAGGTGCTATGTTATAGGGAGGAAGGGTAATGCTTATCCTGTGGCTTGTTCCCCTTTCATGCCCGGATCGACAGCACTTATTCAGACCCTGTTTCTTGTGGGTGCTGAATTGCCGCTCCATTGCACTGACTGGCTTCGATCCAAAGCTGTGTGAATCAAGCTGAAATTGTCATTTTTACACCGCGGAGTAGCCATTTGGCACAACAGCTCGACAGCAGATGGCTCATGAAGAAGCCCGCGCAAAGGGATGATGCCATTCGCCCAGGATCCTTGACACACAATTTTCGCGAGGCATGCGCAACTGTCAACAAAATCAAGGAAGTCAAGTATTGAAGGATCAGAGCAAGGCACAGCAGTGCACAGCCAGATGGAAAATGATAGAAGAAACCTCACCAGACCACACAAGCATGTACACTGCTGGACCCCATGTCATATGCATTGAGTACCTTGGCACCCACAAGATGTGCACAGCGCCGGGGTTGAGCCCAGCCGCTTAGACCGCTCTTGAAGCAATCGCCTTCTTCCCGGCCAGGGCTTGGTGACTGGGCGCATCCGCGCCATGTGGCGCTTGGCGCTGGCGGGGCTGGCAGGGCTTGCCGATGCCACTAATTTGGCCTTGGGCAGAGCTGCTCGGCTGTGGGCTGGCTGTGGAGTCCGAACCAGCGCAAAAAATAGGGGTGCCTCGTGTTCTCGTGGCTCCTCCCGGCTTTAGGGTTTGATTTATGCCAACTGGATGTTATCCATCACGGTGACCCATGCAAACCAGGCGAATTCATTAATGTGTGGTGTGGTACTGTAGCTGGAAATAGGTGGGATCGTTAGGTTGGATGGGTCTGAATTTGCTCCAAGCAAACCACCAAGCAGCCATGATTTGCATGCTCATGCTGTTGCTGTTACTTGGAGTCTCGATCGCGTTTTGAGAGCTTCTTCGCGGACATGTTGCTTCTTGCTACCGCCACAGGCGAACTCTGTGTGTGGATTCGGTTGAAGACTGCCTGAAGGGGAATCGTCTTTTTACATGTACTGAAACTACAGCCCCCAAGAAAGAGGTGAATGCTCATACTACGGAACCCCAAGAAAGGAGAGCCACCCAAGTGCTTGAATTGTTTTCGCATGTTTTGGGGATGTTAAACACGCACCACGTGGCTGGGTGTCAAGACCGGACACATTTTGTTGGTCAACTTATTGACATGTGCTGCCCTTGAACGGTTCTCTTAAGTGGAGCTGCAAAAGCTTGAGCTGTCGGGCCAGGTGCAGTTTGGAGGTTCCGAAGTCTATTTTTAGACCCCCAGCCAGTGTGATCGCGAGCCCGCAAAGTGCAAGCCCTTTGAGGATGGTTTTTTTCAGGGCTTGTTCAAGGGCGTAAAGTACCTCAGAAGGTACCAGGGCATCCTTACTTGGCCCCCTCTTCTTGCACATTTATATATACATACATACACATGTATACATATATATATACACATATATATATATGTAGACACTTCCTCATCTGTTTACAGGCCCCTCAACCCAAATTTTCCCCAAAGCGCGGGGTGAAGTCACGGAGTTACCCTCAGGTGCCCTTTGGATCCTCAGAGATCTCGGGCGCGGAGCTGGAGAAGGCGAGTTGAACTCCGGGTCCGCGACCTCGTTTTTTCGAAAGTCCCGGCCGTCCCCGGCCCTGCCTGGAGTCCTCCTAATTGATTTTGTGGATGGAAAACGCTTGTTCAAACCATTGTTTAGGGGCAAAATTGAGGATGTCACCATAATGGACCCAGTTTTACTGCGGTTCAGTTGTCTCCTTACGTCAGCATGGACCCAGATCGGTACATGGGAGAAGTGTGATCCGGAATTGGTAAAGGGGGGGTACCCTGTCCAGCTCCTTTTGCTTGTTTTGTGGATGGGTGAGGGGTGCTACGTGGATAGATGGCCTGACATGTTTTGCAATGGGCTGGATCCTCGAATTTCATGTCAGTCTCTATTTTTCCTTTATCCACTAAGCAAACAATACTGCCGTGTTGGACAAGCTTCCCAGGTTTTGTCGGGTCCCCAGAACAGCGCCACGGGTATTTGTTTATTGGATGAACCAGCACCAAAATTAAGTAGCACAGTTCAATCCGCGCTGGTGCACTGTTTAGAAGTCTGTGGATCCTACCTAATTCAGGCTGAAGTCAATTGGGTCCAGCGGAAGCCATGAGATGCATTATCCTTGTTGAACGCGCTTTTCCCACCTGTACACTCGTTAAGAGCGGGGGCGAGCAAAATATTGTGGAGCGAGTTGTGGAGTAAGTATATGAGGGTTATTGACTTAGCATGTACTAGTACCCAAGTGATCAGCGCCCAAAGCTGTTAAGTGCAGGTGTCAGAGACGAGTGGCCACTACATGTTCATGTGCACCCCTCAGTCAACAACCATCTACTTGCTGCATTCAACTTTCATAGGCGATGCCATGACACGTTGAGCCCCTGGCTTGCACGATCTGCGGATTCAACTTTTTACGTCCTTTCAAAAATGAAAGCCTATCGCTGGCATGATGTAAAGGAGCCCTGTAAGACAATGCGATGTTGTTGCCTCTAAGCCGGTCGGAATATGGTTCTCGTGATTCCCTAGATCTATTCCTCAACGATAGACATGGCCAATGTAGAACGCTAAGTTCAAGGCCACCATTTGGTAAAGTAATGAAGCATGTACCAAACTGTGGGTGGTCAGGCAAGCGAGGATGTGTTTTTTGTTTTTTTCTCCTTTTTTTTCTGTGGAATGAACACCTACCATGCTAGAAACCACGCAGTTGCAGAGTCATCGATGAATGGGTTTAATGGGTTTATTTGAAGCAACAACACAAACAATAATAACTGTTTGTGTGAAGCACACCAGAACATATTTCGCAAGGAGGTGGTGTGGCGGTTTGCGTGGCCACCTTTCAAACCACCGAAGAATGCCGCTACCACACATGACCGCATCCAATCGTTGCATGCCCTGGAACATTTCATGCGCGGCAAGATATACATTGCATGGCTGGTCCCTGGTTCAACCTACCGATCTTCATTTTGCTCACGGAAACCACACTTTGCCCCGGCGACACATAGTTAGCTCCTTCCGGTTTCCATGACCTCGCGCATTTCCAATTAAGTGTGTTGTGTTCAAGCTCCATTGCTCTGGCTGCTTCTAGAGTCCGAGACCGGCTTGACTGTTCATTGCCTACCACTGCAAGCGGGTGGCTTTGACGTACCACGCACCCCAGGGGGAAAACGAGCTCACCCACGATGAAGCGCAGTTGCTTAGGGAACCCTGATTTCCGGTTTGGGAAAACTAGCGATTTACCCAGTTAATTTATCAGAGAAAGGCAGCAAAGTCACATAATTGAGATGAAGATTCTGTTTTCCAGTTCACCGAGGCAACAGACGGCGATCCTTTGAGCGAGTGGCGCTCGCGGTCACGAGAGCCGCTGGCAAAGCTGACTCTGGGCTGCAAAACGGTGGGCGGGGGTCGTCTAAAGTAGCGTCCTTTTTTTGGCAGGCGGTACCATAAGGTCCAACAGAGCGCCTTATTTTTGACAAACCTCCACACGCTTTCCGTGTTCAGACCACTAACAGCCATGAATTGTAGTTTTCATAGCAATATCTGGCAGGGCCAAGAAAGCTTGAAACTTTGCTATTAAGTGAACCTTTCAACCTGAGGGCTAGGTATTTGCTCAAGTAGAGTAGTTGCGACCAAGTTCATTTTTTGTCCAGCAGACAGGGGTCCATCGTCCGAACCCCGTTTGGTCCCTTTGTCAACTTCCATGAGCGTTTGAGGTAGGGTACACCCGCGGACAGCCACAACCGGAATCTCCGCAAGCAAGGTGCCTCCAAATGGATATGATTCTGCCCAGTTGCCGGTGGCAAAGGTTTCCCTTGGAAATCAAACAACGAAAGGCGGCCGTCTGTTTTTCCATTGCAAGCGCCTGCACACATGTTGAATAAATTCATAGTTGAAGCCGTAGTAGTTTCCGGATGCCAATGGGGTATACTCACAGGTCAGCAAGTTTTTTGTCCCAGCATCCTCTCAACCATGTTTGCACGGGGGCCAAAGGGTGGAGAAGTTGCCCAGTGTTTCATCATCTTTTGGAGTTGCCCTCCAAAGTCAGCCACCAAAGACGGGCTGCCTGTTGTTCCCACGGCCGCTGGGCTTTTTTTATGGTGTCGCTCGATATCAAGAGAAAGCCGGAGGCAATACGACCCTGACCACGAGAAAGGATTCGCCGGATTGGCCAAGGCCCACCTGGCGTCTTCCGGAGCCGCGCTATGGCCAGGCAGTCCGGTTGATCAAGCGGATTTTGCATGCGTGGCTTGACATTGGCTGGTCGATTCAGGTTGGAGAGCTGGCAATGAGTACTTCTGTGGCAGCTTTGGATGTGTTGATCTGAATGCAGCAATGCCCAG